ATACAGTATTACTCGTAATCATGATGAACTGTGTACACCAAAGTAATGCTATGCACTCCATTTTATTACAGGGTGCACCAAAATTGTTTTGTGCGCATCAACCTAGTTCTGTGTGCACTAGTCTAATACTGCAGAACTCAATATAGTACTGTGTACAGTCGCGATAGCTCAGGGGATAGAGCATTCGCTTTTTATAATAAATCCATTTATAATAAACCATTTTACATTGAATAATGATGTAATTTTTATCTCATGCTGACAATGTTTTGTGTCCATTGTTTCTTAGCAAAGTAATATTTATATAATAGCTATATTTTATAAATATGAATTTGTTTGGTTATAAATATCAATTGTCGTTTAAATAAATTTTCAATTTATTTAACAGAAACTACCAGTAAAAGTTTATTATTTTTTCCATGAATAAAAAAGAGTACTTCGAACAGTCCTTTCTTTTGCTTTGGTGAGCAGTTAAAATGACTGCATGAAGCAGAGGCAATTTCAATGTCACAGTGTTGGGCAGTCTTGATGGTCCCAACAAAAGCAAGATGGTTTATAATGGAAAATTATAATGGTTACCAATATATTATGTTAGATCAGGATTAATTTTTTTATTCCTGACAATTTTGATTGTCCCAACAAAAAGCATGATGGTTTATACAGGAAAATTATAATGGTAACCAGTAAATTGAGTTGTATCATGATGGATTTTTTTTTGTTGGCACATATTAAAAATCCAACATACTGGGATGGGTATGTTATGTTTGCCCAACATGAAAAGGTGACAATCCCTAACTTGGGATGTTGGGCAGATTTGATGGTCCCATCAAGCTGCATGGTGGTTTTTAGTGGAAATTCAAGATGATAAGCAATTTATGTTGGTCCATCACTGAAAAAACGTCATAATTTTATATGTTGGATCATTAGTTAACAGTCTATAAAAAATAAAAAAAACATTTTCTTTTTAGTCTAAAGCCGATAAAAAAACATTACTTCTTAGTCTAAGCCAGACGACAAACATTACTGAAACTGATAAAAATCATTGCTTTCGAAAATTAATTTCCGGATTAATTACACAGTTTCTTGAATTTAAAAAAGCAAACAAATGTCATGCAAAAAAGATTCACGAAACCTATAAATAATATAAAATAATAATATAAAAAAACACTAAGTTTTGAGAGGAATTTGAAAATGTTGGTTAAAAATAAATTTTGAAGATAGGTTTTTCCCATTATTGGATCATAAAACTGTAAATTCATTTTTAACTATAATAAGTTAAATAAATGACAAACATCTAACTTAATGCTGACCTCGTATTAAATGGGGAAAAAACTTCAATCCACTTCAAAATTTACTATGATTCATTTTTGTGTTGAATCTCATTTTGCTACTTTTTCTCATCATTTATTGCATTGCTGGCATAAAATATCCCTATTGATAGATTCACCGTACGCTAAGCGCCATTTACGTGAGAAAATTGAAGTTTTTAGTAACACTCTTCTCACTCTCACGTAACGCAAATGGGAGTCAGTTTCGAACACAAATTACTCCAGAGAGGCAAGTTTTTCCCAATATTTTTACGTAAGAATTCCTATTACGCTTAAGCTGAGTTACATGCATATGAAAAACTTTATCGGGGATGAATTCATAAACTTGCTTAAACATATTTAGTAAGAGAAAAAGCTAAAAACTTGTTTTGTTGTTTATAGTACCATAAATTATGACAATATCTTAAGCAACCTGTTAGTGCTACAATTTACTTAAATTAGTAATTTTTAAATGTAATAAGCTTTAAAATTAATAATTAAAATAGTATACTCATTTTTTTGCTTTGATAAATATTAAAAAATTTTAATATACTAAAAAAAATTTTTTTAAAATTTAAGAAAATTAGAAAAATAATAAGGAGAAGAATGAAACAGAATGTTGGAAAACATAGATGTCCTCGTCAGGATGCAATCCTCCACTGGAATGCCTAGCTAAAAATATAATATCTTAAGGCAAAAATTGCTTTCTTAGAATGCATTTATACTCTTAAGAAAACAATAGCAAATAATTGGAAATCAATCTGAAAAAAAAAGGTAGTAAAAGAATATATAAATTATTATTATTAAGATGCCTCTGCTTTTAGTAAAATAGAGTAATTAATTGGGACACACTAAATAGAGGAGAGTTGGAAAAAACTACACCCTGTTGGCTGATAAAACTGGAACGCGGCAATGGTTTTGTTATGGAGACAAAATAATTATATAGAGCAGCGTTTACTTAGTGGTTGAGGAAATGAGCTGTTATTGAAAGAACTGGAGTATGTTCCCCAGTGATGGCTTGAAGTTCACTCAGCTTTCAACGATGGGTGCCAGCTTGTCTGGTAAGTAAAACTTCCTTGTATGCAGTGCTGACCACATTACCACAATCAAGCTGTTGGTCATGACATTATAAAGCCCTAACTTCTATGAATCCACTAGCTCCTAACGGGCTATTGCGGGAATGCTTTATTTTGCTTTTAGATAATTATTTATTAGTAGTATTATAGTGATAAAACAATTATTGTGATGTCTATACTTCCAACCATCTATCATAAATCACATTAAACTAGCTGCAGACATTCGCTATGTTATCTGTAATTGAATGGGAAGCAGTGTAGGCTAATTGTTTGAGAAAGTCGGTGCTTGCATCGGTGTCGATGAATCCAATCTGGAATACTTTTGTTTTTGCTTCACCGATTTACTCTTTTTTTTCTAAATACTGGAAAATTTACATTAGAAAAATCAAAATCTAATAACACATTTTCAACTATTGCTTTCAATTATTAAAACAGGTTTTGTATCAACTTTACACTATAAGAAGCGGTGTTATAGGATAAAATCGCACCTTATGACTGTTTTTCGAAAGCCCCATCATCATATTAAATTATGCTTTTTTTGCGAATAATATACTATTTTCATAATTGATGTGAGTTTGTGACAGTTACGAATGATTGTTACAACATGTTCAGTCTATCTAAAGAAAGCTTTGTCTATACTTATTCTGAAAATGGCGCAAGACGTAAATATGTGGAAAAGAAGTTTTGTGAAAATGAAAAGCATTTGTGGTATAATTTCCTAATATTTGAAAACTTACTTCAATGCTGCATTATAAGGGCTCATAAAAATGTACAAAAACTGATAATAATTCAGGGATTTTAAAAATTTTCATCTGAATAGGAATATTTTGCCCAAATTGGCAATATTTAAAAAGAGTTCTTAAACTATTTAAGCTATTTGCCATATATATATATATACTTATATATATACATNAACTTACATCATATACTGTAAATTATATATAATATATATATATATATATATTGAAATTATCGCTTTCTTTCATGAGTAAGATACTTAATTGTGACTTTTTTATTTCACTTGGCGACAGAGCTTTGAAAAACCCGATGGTCGGATATGACTTTGCAGCTACATTTCACACTACTCTAAATCATCAAAATCCGTGGAAAATCAAATATATTTTCTCATTTGTAAGCAATGGACGCATGTAGCCTATAACACTGCAGGAGGACACGTTAAGAGTTATGAGTATGATTTTAATTCTTAAATCCGATGAACTAATTTATTTTATGCTTAATTCCAAATATATTAAATTCAAAATTATTTACATCCGGTGACTTTAATACCCCTGTATTTAGTGAGAGATTTATTTTATAAATAATTTGGAAGTAAATAAATATTCCCAATAAATACCGTTTTTATCTCAGTTTGTTAAAAATGGAACTAAAAAAAATGGTATAAGACCATTCAGGTTTGGTGAAAAGGAATCTGTTTTATGCCAGTACACAAATCGATAAAACCGGATGTTGGCATACTTTCAAATAATGATTAATTTATAATATATAGTTTATAATGTGGTCAAAATATTCTTAAGTATAGCTTTTTACAACAAATTATATCTATTTAATGGAATAGTCATTTAATTAAAGGGTTAATTTAGCAATGGAATAAAAATTAAAGCAATTTTATTCTCAGAGCTGATGAAAAGAAATAACTTAAAGACTCAGTTTTGTCCATCCCCCCCCCTCTTTTGTCTCTTACTTCCTGGCTGCATAATTTAAAACATGCATTACATAAATTTAAAAGTAAACAGATGCCTTTCATTTTGATTTTCGGGGGTATATTTTACTATGTCCAGCCAAAGCAATTTGATTTCAATTTGCTTTATTTCAGTTTTCTCAAAGTTTTTTTCGGAAACAAAATCCAAATCGTTTTAGGGTATTTTATAAATTCCGATCTAAAACTTCTCTTTTTTAAGGGACCCAAATCGATTTCAGAAAATCATTGTTTCTAAAGCAAAGACATCGATTTTTGGCTTTGATGTAACAATTTTTCTTCCTGGAATCGCGAATCTGATATAAAAGCATTTGGAAAACAAGACGATAAATGATTTTATTTCATCTGAAAAAAAAAAGAAAAGGAATGAGTTAAATATTATTTAAATGCCTATTCAGGCTACATTTTATTACAAAAGCTATTTCATTTCTTTTAAAATTCATATTCATCTGGCAGGTGATTAATTCGCTTTTATGGTTGGTACATATTGGAAAACGTTACTTTTTCCTTCACTTTCTTGAACTTTGGGTAATCTAGGCCATAATTCTAATGTTAGAAATGGTCAATTAGCAACTAATGGATGCATTAAAATCTAAAGGCAATTTGGTGCCACTTGGTTCATCTTCATCTGCTGTATAAAATACGAGAATGGAAAAAGTAGACTGTTCAAGTGAGCAAATCATGCTAGTAAAACTCTTATAAGTGTAAAAACGTTAAAAAAATTAACAGTTAAAAGTTAGAAACTTAAATATAACAATTTTACAAAAGTTTGATAAAAATTGAGTGGAAATTAGATAATTATCTGTTGAATTGAATTTTTTTTCTTTCATTATGCAAAAAGACTCCCAGAAATCCAAGTCAATACATATCATATAATATTTATATAGCTTTTTCTATTTCCAGAGGCACCAGATCACCCATCTCAAATCGAAGTTGTTCACATATCAAGCCGTAGCGTCCATATAAGGTGGGCCACACCATTTAATGGAAATAGTCCTATTTCACGGTATTTAATTATAACCGAAAACTTAAAAGGTGAGTTAAGTAAAAAAAAAAAAATTAGATAAATATCTTCTTTTAGTAAATATTGTATCTTGCTCTCTTAGATTGAGTATTAATTTATTTTTTAGAATGGATATTACAGAGTAAAATTAACACTTAATGTGATGTTACTATCTATAAGCTAACGAAATAACAGTTAAAATAGTTAATATTTAAATAACGATAATTAATACAAAATAATTAAGTATGATTATTTAAAATTAATTAAGAATAAAAAAATGAAATTTTTAATAGTTATAATAGCATTAGTTATATGAATTTTTAGAATCGTCTATATTTTTAATCTATAATTTTAATTCAAGTTAGTGCATAAATGCACAAATACTTTAAACCAAAAGTTCTGTGATCCCTCAAAATGAGCCCAGAAAAAATTGAGATTTAAAATAAAAGAATAGTAGATTAAATTTAAAAAAATGAAGAAAAAAAAACTTTTGTAAAGTTACAATGGTAATTTTAAATCTTCTGTTCCTATTTGTTTTTATAAAAAATAAAAGTCGATATGTTTAGAAAATAAATACAATGTTTAAAATATTTCTTTGTGATTTAGATTGCAACTGAAGTTTTAAATTCTATAAAAATTTAAAGCATTTATATTGTGATAACGTTAATGATAAAATATTTATGTAGAATCTTGTTACAATGTTGGCTTTATTCGTCAGAAAAAACAATGCCATTTTAAATTTTAAACTCAAACCAAGCCATTTGTCACGAAAAGCAAAAAAAAATTTGTAGTGCGAATTATGATTCTTAGGATGATACAGGTATTTAATATGAAGCTCTAGAGTCCATGAATAAAAATTATTATCTTGAGAAAATTCAATTGTTGTCTTTTAAGAAATTCTGAATCAAAGATTTTAACTACTGATGTCTCTGGGTCTCAAACAGACATAACTTTACGAGGTCTGAAACCGAGGATCACTCACTATACCAGTCAAAATTATAACTCAAATCAAGGACATAATCACAAAATTCACAAAAGCTGCAGTGCTAAATATAATTCTTATGATGATATAGATGATGATGATAAAACCCAATAACTTTTGACTGAAAATTAATAAATTAAAAAATTTAAATTCTTTTCTCTTAGGAAGTTCGGAATCAAAAATTTAAACTACTAATGTCTCTGGTTCTCAAACAGACAAAAATTTACAAGGTCTGAAACCAAGGATCATTTACTAAACAAGTCAAAATTAAAACTCAAATCCACGACATGATCACAAAATTCAAAAAAGTTTCAGTGCTAAATACAATTCTTATGATGATATAGATGTTTAATATGAAACCCAATAACCCATGACTAAAAATTAATAAATTGAAAAATTTGAATTCTTTTCTTTTAGGGAATTCTGAATCAAAAATTTTAACTACTGATGTCTCTGGGTCTCAAACAGACATAACTTTACGAGGGCTGAAACCAAGGATCACTTACAATATACACGTTGTTGCTGAAAATGCCATTGGTAAAAGCTCACGAAGTAAACTTTTGACAGTAACCACAGATGATGAGGGTAAGGTTTTTTTAAATTTATTTTTAACCTTTTATAGGGCAGATATTACTTTAACTTGCAATTAGTTTACAATTAATTTATTGTGTTCATATCTTTTTTCTCTGTTACTTAATTGTAATTAATTTAAAAATATTTTTTTTCTTAGAACTTGAGTATGAAGTTTATATTCGGTATCAATTGTAAGCTCGAAGTCGAGATTTGGAACAACAAAAGTTGTGCAAGTCTAATATAACTATTGATATTAAATGATAAAGGAAAATCAGCTATCGAATTTTCAAAAAAATTAGTCATTGCTTTAAATCCAAATTTATACTAGCTATGCTAATTTCTCTTTTTCGTACCTTTCATAAACCACAAGGGCGGAGTTTTTACCTAAATTATTTATTTTATGTCTGCTTAATTATATTATTTTTTTGTATGAGTTTTATACGATTATAAATTTTTCTATAATATATTTAATTTTGTAGCATTATAATATATACAAAATTGAATAGAATCTTATAATAATAATAAAAATAAAAAAAATTACCAAAATGTTTGTTAAATATTTGATATTATTTCGAATTTAAAATCAAAACTATCGAAATGATATTTTTTTTGTTTATTTATGCTAAAATATTATAAGCATTTAGGGAAAATGTTATAAGCATTTAGACTGCAAAACATATACTGAAAAATTTTACCCTAAGCAATTCAGCACAGTCTCTCATATTGGTGAACAAAAATTTATTTCCCTTCCGGCATTGTTGTCTTTTTTGAGAAGATGCAATAGATGAAATTTAGGAAATAATAATTAGCTTAATATGCTTCATTTATTTCACAATGCAGATAAGCAAAAGTCTACAACTATTTCCGAATAAATTTTTAAAAAAATCACGGCTGAAATAAATTTATTTTAAAATAACAACACAAATATGAAAATTTGTTGCCTATAATTTTGAGTTTCTTTAAAAAAAGAAAAGCATAAGCTAATTTTATTAATTTGAACTTTGATGACTCTTAGATCTTTAAACACATAAGAAAATTTAGTGCTTGAAATATTTGAAAATAGTTGATTTGTGTTTCTAAATAAAGTTGGTTGAATCATTTTCCTTCCCTTCCTAGTCCCACGGACTCCTCCTCTTCAAGTTCGAGTAACGCCGATGAATTCCAACTCCTTGCAGGTATCATGGCTGGTTAGTATAACATATGTTAGCATTATCAATATATGTTAGAATTTTCATCAATAATGTTAACATCTTAACTCAGAATTAAAACATTAAATATTAAGTTTTTGATTTCTTCATTTAAAAATAAGATTCCTAAGTTTGTCAATCACTATAAATATTTGAACCATTCAGAAGATGGCAGCACCATAAAATTTAAAGTCTGAGACAGTAAGGTGTGGATTTCGATCTCTAGATGGCAGCACAATAATACTTTTTATCGAACTAAATAGTACTTGTATTCAACTTTAGATGGCAGCACCACAGCATTCATTATCCTTTCATTGGTCATGTTTTGTTTTTTGAAAGTTTCGAAATATAATTTTAACCAATAACGTAACAAAATCTTTAACCCTTTAACACAGAATTTTCATTAAACGCATATTTCATACTTAAAATATTGTTGATAACCTTTAAATAATTTTTAGTAAAGATATGCAACACCGGTGTTTGCGTTAAAGGTAAAATTTTCATAACAAACACGAGAGAGAGAGTTTGAATTTATAACTTTTAAGGGATTAAATGTTTTTAACTAGACTAAGTGAATTAATTGATATTAGTAGAACAAAGAATATACTCTTCAATACTTATTCATGTGTTTTCTATTTTAAAGGAAAAGAAAAACTTGAAAGTCTGTTCTCTCCTTCTTCTTTTTTCTTCTTTTTCTCTTTTTTTCTTTTTCTACCATTTTCTTTTCCAAATATAAACTTTTCAACTTCATAAATTTATTTTAATATCCGAAATTTTATATATTTCTTTTCATATTTTACATAACAAACACATAATTACTTTTAGTATTGTAATTTTGAAAATTTATTGAATATTACATAAAATTGAAAGCACATAGATTGCATTGTTAGAATAAATTTGTTTTCTTTTCTACTGATAATATGATAATTTGAGAAACGAATTAAAAATGATACTTCGTTAATTCAAAGATAATTTAAATCATGAGGTTTATGTGGATATTTAATTTTTTTTTCATTGATAAAGAAATATTGAAAGATAATCAACAATTTAACAACCAATTGAAACAAGATTATAAGAATAATTACTTAACCAAAACGGAATTTCTTTCTTTTCAAATCGATTTTAATGACTGACTAAAGGAACCGCTGGAACTCCATTATCATTTAATCATTTGAATCCTGAAAAGGTAATACACCAAAATGATTGCTCCTGATTCGTGATATGGAAATTCAAGCAGTAAATATGAAATATCTATGTTTATAAATCTATTTTAAGATTGTACACTATTTTTAATGAATGCATATAATAAAAATAAGTCAACATATTATTAAATTTATTTATTCACATGAAAATACTTTGAAATGGAAACAATGAAAATGTTGCTTTTCGAAGGCTCCGTCGTAATATGGAACGATGCTCTTTAGCGAATAATATGCTATTTTTATGACTGCTTTGAATTTGCAACTGTTACTTATGATAGTTAGGTCAAGCTTAGCCTATATAAAGCTAGCACTGTCTATGCTTATTTTGAAAATGGCGCAAAACGTTAATATGGAGAAAAGCCATAATTTTGTGAAAATGAAAAGCGTTTGCGGTCTAATTTTTTAATATTTAAAAACTTACTCCCATGCTGCATTATGTGGGCTTATAAAAATTTGCAAAAACTGATAAATGCCAGAAATTTTGATAATTTTCATCTAGGTAGTCGCCAAATAAACTTAAAAATGACGATAAATTGGCGATTTTTTAAAAAAAAAATTAGCAATTTTTAAAATATCTAAGTTATTTATCTGCTCTGAAGCCCAGATAATTCTTCACGGAAAGAATATGTATATTGTTTAATGTATATTTGCATTGTATGTGTGCATTGTATATATACGTGTGCGTTATTTAAGTGTTAGCGTCAGAGCTTCGAAAAACAACGTTAATGAATTTATTCCTTTCTTTTTCTCAGATTCCCAAAAAAATAATGACAAATAAATTGAATAAATTAAAATAAAAAATAAGTAAATATAAAAGTTATAATATCGAGATTTTTCACTAACTCTCATTGCTGTTGAAGATTGTCAGGAATTCGTGTTTCATTATACAACACAGGCTAGGTCATTCTAAGCTATGTCTAAATTTCAATTTCATGTACTGAAATTGTTTGAATAGAATAATTTTTTTAATCCATTTTTTTATCTATATTCTTTCAGCCGCCAGAAAGCTCTGATGATGACGGTGGTTCCATCACCGGCTATTATGTGGGATACAAGGCAAAGAAGTCTGGTGGACAGTACTTATTTAAAACTTTAAAAGTAACAGAAAAGTTTCAGAATGAATGCGAGCTTACAAATCTGTTGAGTTCCACTGAATACAGTATTGTTGTACAGGCATTTAACGAAAAAGGACCTGGCCCACAATCTGATGAAGTAGTTGCAAAAACTTCTAAATTTGGTAAAAAGGATTACGAAAATATTTTTTTCAATTAGTAGTAATAAACAATTATATTATCTAGCAAAAATAAACTTTATACTGCAATTTTAAAACTTAATAGAACTACGAGTATAAAGAACCTAAATATTTGTACTCTGAACAATAAAATAGATTGCAATTAGGTTAGATTTTTAATAAGGTGTCAAGTTGGCAAAAGTTTCTGCTCTAGTTTTAATATATTATGTGTAACCATTTATAAAAACTATGGAATTTAACCCTGATTTGAACAAACGCAACGTCTGAGAACAAACGTTTGGTGTTAACGAATCGCTGATATCCAGCATTGAAATCTCACAGGAGCATGAGATGTTCTTATTTAATGAAGTAAATTATAGCAATGTAAATATAGGGATGAGTCTTCAAACAAGGATACTATTTATTTAATAATTTAGACAAATATATATATTTTTAAAAAAGTGCAGTTTTTTAATTTGTAAATTTTCACAGTAATGTGATAGTAATTCCAATATGATAGTGGAATAAATAATATTTTAATACCACATATAACTTTATACAATTAAGGCTTACTTTGACTTCAATTACTTACTGAACTAATAATATACTCCTAATAAGGGATATGCTCCTGTATAAAATACTCCTAATAAGGAGCACCTTTGGGACCAAACATTTTGTCCCTTAAATTGGGATTTATCTTACTTAAGAGGACGCAATACCCAGATAAAAAACCGGAATTGGCAAAATCAGAGTTGTAATAGTCACACTTTGGGGGCGTCGCTTTGAGGGAGGAGTGAATTGGTACAGTGACAGTGATATATGATAGAGGGTCAGTTAAACTATCCCATCCTTCCTTAGCAAAACTGAACAATATAAGCATTAGTTTCGAAAAGTGATTCTGGGTACGCGGTCTTTTATTTTTAAACCCATTCTTAGTTTCGTTGTGAAATATCCAGAATAGACATTCTAACTATTTATTTGTATGTAAATAGGTGTTTACAAGATAATGGGGATTACTTATATCTTACAATTAATTCGTTTCAAATTAAAACACCAAGAAGAATATAAATTTTTATTAATGTGTGTGGAATTAATGGAATTAATTAAAGTAACTTAGTTTTAATAATCGGAGCTAGAACTGCTAATTATATTGAGCTGTAAATATATGAAGAAATATAATTATAAAAATTCTGAAAAATACATAATTTATTAAAACGTAGGCAATTTATTAAGTCATAATACAGAATTGAAAAAATTATTAAAACTTATACTAATATAATAAAAAGTTATAAAAATAAAAAAATAAGAATTAATTATAAAATATGATAAAAGAAAAATCAAACGCTTTTTAAATTGCATCAAAGAAAATTTTTGTTTTGATGTATCTTTTTCAAACTTACATTCACCATCCGGGAAAATTTTATTTTCTGTAAATAAGTATAATAATTTCTCAATAAATTTTTTAATTTATTTATATTGCTTTGTAATTTTGCTGAATTACAAATTACATTGTTTTGTATTTGTCTGAGAATTTTTCTCCTTTCATTTTCAATAGTTTAAGACACATACGTATATTAGAATATGGGTGTGTGTTTGTGCAAAGGAAAAAGAAAATTTAAAAATAAATATTTCTACACAAAAATAATTTTTTATTTTTTTCCGTTTCAATAATTTTATATTCTTTTCTGTTTCATACATTTCAATCTCCATTTGAATTATTAAAATTTCTGTTTGAGTATTATTTATTTTTGTATTTTAGTATTATTTATTTACTCTCCTTTTTTAAAGCGAATTCTCACCACATGTTCCATATTACTTCAGCCTCAGAAAGATGGAATTCAGATGAAACATCTGTTAGCGTATAGTTTGATAATCAACGAATTAAAAAAAAATTTCCCCTCGATTTTTATTTTTCTGTTATTCTACTTTGTTCTCTAAAGTTTTAAAATTTTGTTTTGATCACATCTTGAATTCTTTACTTTCATTTTAATTGTGTATCTATGAGCACACACCTGTTCATACAGATACATATAAAAGCTAAGAGACACTATATTTAAAAAAAAAAAGGTCATTTTGTTATTTTGGGTGTTTAAATTCAGTGAAGAAAATTTTCTCGAACTACTTTTTTGATGTATGAAACATATGTTTTGTAACATATGTTTGAAACATATGTTACTTTTTTGTTGTTATTTACGTAATGAAATATAAACTTATTTATAACGCAGATAAGTTTGCAGACATATGTCAGAACTTCGCAAACACAAAAATAAATAATAAATCAAAAATAGAGAAAATGACTGTAATATTACAAAAAACTCTAATTTTGTGGGCGAAGCATGCAATTAAAAAAACTCTCTAATTAAAAGCATAAAAAATCTTTATTTATAACCATCCTGATCTTTTACTTCCGTATAATCAAGATAAAAACATAAAAAGGAAAAAATAAAAAATTTAAATTACAAAATAGAGCAAATATAAATAGTTTACATGTGTGCATTACAAACAGTATAACTTGAGTCACAAGAAATGTATAATTGCAATAGATTTATTATGTTTACATATGGTGACAAAATGAGGGCTAAAAGCAAGAACACAACTCTTACTTTATCACAGATGGAAAAAAGGAATGTAATATCAAAAAGTTAATTAAAGGTAAAATTGGCAAAGTAAATAATACAATGCTAATTATGGGCATTTTGTAGTAGTTAAAAGTCGAAGTAAACATTTATTTTCTTAAAGTGAACATTTTTCTGTCAATTTTAAATAGCCATCGAAATATCCTGCAAGATATAAAAACGTGTTTCTCAACAAAAGATTTTTAATATAATTTTCTTTAAAAAAGTTTTTAAAGATAAAAGCTATTTTGCAATAAAATACTAAAAATTGGTGTTATATTTTTTTTTCTAAAAATTTTAATGCAACTCGCTAATATCACCTACATACTCCCCTATCCCCATTGTCTCATGATTAAATTAATCTGAATACATTGTATGTTATTAAATTTATGGTATGTCTTAATGGATTAAAATAAATTAATTGTGACATAAATTAAAAATTGATTTATCCAAAATGTAGTTTTAGCGATGATTATTTGAATACATATAAAGTAACGACTTTTAATAGCAAGTCTGTCAAATTGCTATAACTACTTATTTTAGAGAATAATAATTCTGATTCAATAATTGCAAATAATGCTGACAAAAAAACAAAAGAAAAGAAAAGAATACTAAAATATAGAATTAAAATATAAAGTCAGGCAAGAATAAATAAAGCAAATAGGCATTATGATGAGCAGGCAATAAAAATTTTAAGAAATGTTAAAATATAATATTCATGTTTAAATCTAGCATTAGTATATAAAACAAAATAAATAAAAATCTGAGCAACAACATGTGTTGCTGAGAAATATAGAGCATTTGCGAGAAGGAAAATTATAATATACAATCGTTGACACTGTGAAAGCAAAATTTTACTGAGAAAACTCATGATACTAGGCAATTCTGTAAACTAGCACAAGTATTTTTTCGGGCAAACTCATGGTGCTAAATAAATGTGGAAATTTTGAAGATAAAATATGAGTAACTAAAACAAATAATAGTGAAAAAAAAAATTCTTTTCAAGAATATACACTATGATGTACAGTTGCAAACATTAAATTTGAAAATAATAATAATAATAATATATATATGTACATTTAGCACTGTCAGCAATGTGAAGAAAATATAACATTATTAATAAAATCTGGAAATACTATACAAAATAAAAATCTGGATGCTGAGACATAAGAAGCACTTGCTAAAGGGAAGGGAAAATTAAAATGTATGTATATGCATGTATATGTATGTATGTATATGCATGTATATGTATGTATATGCATATATATGCATATGATACTAAAATGAAATATGTTCATTTAACTCTGTTAGAACTGTAAAGAAAATGAAACGTATTTTCAGAAAAACTCATTATTATTGAACAGTTAGGAAAATTTACGAAATGGGAAAATATAATATTCATATTTAAAACTAGCAATCTATATTTACGACCATAAAAACCTGAGTAACATTATATGATGCTCAGAAATAGTTAGCATTTGCTAGTGAAGAAATTAAAATATAAATCGCATATCGGTTATTATATCGGATAATTTAAAGAAATTGCCAATTAATAATTTTAGAAAATTAACTTTTATTTAAGAAAAAAATAAATAAAACAGAAGAGAGAGAGAGAAGGAAATATGAATTGCCTGTTATGCACATAATTTCAGCCAAGGATTTGCCCGAAATGGATTTGCACACGGTAAAAATTGTATAAATTAACGAAGAAGTTTTTTAGTAAATTTATTCACAATAACATACAATTAACTTAATGTTTTTATATAGAATTTAATTACTTTATTTGGGTAACCATTGTTTTTTTTTTTTAAAATTTTGTCTATTTGTTTTTTGGATAACTAAACATTACTACATAATCTTTTAATTCTACACATTTGATTAAAAATGGTATTAAAATAGATATTTTTAAGAACATTAGAATTCCAAATAATTTATTTGCCTTAAAATAAAAATAATTTCTTTTATAAAATAGACCAACAAAGCAGATATTTTCTCCTTTTATAATACCCAAATCCAAAAAATTAAAGCTATCATTATGATTACGAAGCGAGGTTAATTCCTAGGGGTAAATATTATTAAATAAAAGAGTATATTCATGAAAATTGAAGATAATTAAATCATCAATAAATCTAAAAACAAATTTAATATTAAGAGTACAATTTCTTTTTTTTAGTGCAAACAAAAAATTAGCTAAGAGAGATGAAACGTTAGGTCCTTCCGGTATTCCATCAACTAGGAAAAAAAAAATATCTTTTCCATTTTAAAGATAATTATTGAAAAGACAAAAATTAATTGGAATTTCCCAATAATCAAAATCGCAATTAAAGATTTTTTCAAAACATAGTAATAATTCAAAAGAACATCTTTTAGTTTAGAAAGGGGAATGCTATTGAAAAGATCTTGGAAATCATAAGTGGCAATAGAATTAATTTTATTATGTTTAATAAATTCTAAAATCGGTGGATTATTAGTGATAATCCAAGAAAAATCCTCTTTAATAATATTGTTGATAATTTTATTTAAGTAGTTAAAGAAAAAGGTGCCAAGTTTAATTAGGAAAGTATTAGACCCACATGTGACTGTTCTGAAATTTATTGTAATTTTATGAAATTTAGGACTGATATTTAAGTAAAGAAATTTCATATTGCTAGTTTCAATTTTTAACCTCTTATATAAAGCTAAAAAAAATTTAATGACAATATTATAATTTAAATTACGAAGTTTAAAATTTTTACTATTTTTTAACTCCGTATTTAAAAGTGCTACATAAAATTTTTTACAGAAGATTGCATAATTATTGTTAGCTTAATTGATATATATAATTAACTAATTAAATATATTTATCCTACAATGTTTTGATAAGTTGTTATTGCCAAAATTAAGAAGAAAAAATAATAATAAATAACATAAGAAAATTCGAAAGAAAGTCTTCCATCCTAACTCATTTTAAAGAAAGAGAATGAAATAAAAACTGTTTTCAACCACAACAGAAGACCCCAAGGCTATTTAACCCCTCAACTATTCAAAGAAAGTAAAGAGGCTTTTCTCCTAACCCCCCAAAAGATCTCCCCACTAGAACTTTTACTCGTATTGGTAAATGAAGGGAGGACAGATGGGAGGCGTGGTTTAGGCTCTTTTCCCAATTTTTTTAAGAATTTTTTCATCTTTCTTTCCTAATAACACATTTCATAATTGAAGAAAATAATTACTAGTTATTTCTTTTGGTAGCTTGAAATGTATAGTTCGAGTACGTGAACTCAAAAATAAGGATTTACTGAATGAATTTTGATAAAAAACGGATTTCAAGAAGATATCTCTATTACCGATATTTAAACTCCATTAATAATTTAAAATTTATGGTAAAGCAAAAAGTGATTTCATAAAACCTTAGAGTAAACTATGAAGTTTCAAATGCTGAAAGAATTTTTCCAAAATATTAAAATGCAAAAAAGTTATTAGCAAATGAAGCTCCCATAGGAAAAGCATTAGCAGCTGACATTGAGAGGGTAGGTATTGCGTCCTCTTAAAGAATGTATAGAAAGCTAAGAAACGGCGATTTAATTGGAAACTCAGATTCACTGGTTTCATTTCCTAATTTTTCTTCAAGAAAAAAGTCATAAATACTTGTAGCCTCCAAATTTTGAAAACTTCTTTTGCATTTTCTTATATTACTACATAACTATTACAGAGATTTATTTTCTTACCGTTGGAAAACTAATGCAATATAAATAGCATGCTGTTCTTTACCGAATTTGAAAGTTTTGGAGTGTTTATGTGAACTACATATTTTAATAGATATTTACTTCTTCTCTAACCTTTAACACATTACTTACTCCTTTTTTACTTACTCTAAATGCCAGTCATAAATCTCTCAAACTTAACTTTTCATTTTCTTCCAATTAATAACGTCAACTTTTTCTTTTAATATTACTTTTCGTTTTTGAAACCATCACATACAACGTACAAAAATATTTCACAAGCATAAAACTGCAATTCTCTACCATCATAGCCCGTACAAAAACTATAAATGATAGAAATGTTCACTCAATGCGCATTTTAATGTTTTTTTGAATGTGCGACCCATCATTGTCATCTGATGCTTTAGTCATTTGACAACTTTTTTCCCTAATTGATCCCTATTTCTCATATTACCACCAAGTCAGTTCATGGGATGAGAGCAAAGAAAGTAAGAACTAAGTAAAAGAAGGTAAGAATGAAGTAAGTAAGTTGAAGACTAAGTAAGTAATGCACTAGGTAAAGCATCCTTCCACAACTAAAAAATTAGTCTTTAAACATGTATTTTTTTCACTGCATCGTGCCACGTTTTTTCTTAATTTACATATTGCTCCCCTTCTCTGAAACAACAGTCATTTAAAAAGAAGGATAGACTTACTGAAAAAAAGAGTAATTTTATTTTTATTTCGCGTTTCGCTACATTTTCCTACTTTATTCATTATTTTTGTGCGTCCCTTAAATTAAATAAAGTATATAATATTAAAATGTAAATGCACTAAGAATCTTATTCAAAGAGACCAGGACCAACAGAATTATCCTTTTAAATCACGGTTGTCTTTTTATTTGGAGCTGTCCTTTACAGGTTGTACTTTTATGTCTGTGAATAGTACAGTTTTCAAATTTTATTATCATACATACTAAAATTGTTAACCTTGTGTATCTGAGTTTTAAACATTTATTTTCTTTTTTGCTAAATGTATATATGTTTTTATAATTGCAATTAGAAATTATTTGAATGCAAATGAAATTATTTGAATCTGAAATGGAACTTTATGAATTATAACACTGACAAACATTTTCATCATGTATTCTGAAATTATTATAGCTTGCTTTGCTTTGAGTTTCGAAATTTTAATTGCCAGTTTTTCACTAATCTAATTAGTTTTGCCTTTCTCTTTTTGTACACTATTTTTAATTTAATAATTAATTAGTTCAAAAACAATTTTATGAGTATTTCGTAATTATTATTCATTTAATTTATTTTCCAAAATATTGTTCTCTGTTTTTAGATCCGCCGAAAAGCCCTACAATGAAAATTCTGAAAACAACATCGAATTCTGTACAAATTCAATGGGAAGCAACAGATAATGTAGAAGGTATTTAACAATCGGCTTCTAGTTAAAAAGTTTCTTCGTAAAAAGTGTGCTACAATAACATATATTTTTTCTTATCCAATCTGTTGCTCTTTATCTATTACCTGTCTGTTGCTCTTTAATCATACCATTTATACACTCCTAATAATCGATAGGTACGAATTTTAATATCACGATGTATTGCTTATAATATTGATATTCAATAATGTAACGCCAATTCCGATTTAACAAATCAATTTCACATTTTTAATTATTTTCGTTATCCAAATAATACTTATCAACAATCACAATAATGTCGCTCTCAATAATTGCCATAGCATGGAATATTCACAATAGATTCTAATAGCAAGACTTGAACTTCTGGCTGCAACTATTCCATTTTGTCTCTCAACTTCAATTTTGTCTGAGGTAACTCATGATGAAGTGTTTTTTTGGTCAGATTCCATACGTTTGGTCTTATTATGGGAAAAGGCAATGACCATAACTAATTTACCAAACATTTATTAACATTAGGACAGAATTTAGGACAAAACATAAATCAATTAACACAAAAAAGAGGTCGTCTGCCTCGACAGCCTTCAATCACATTCGCTGCGCTTGAAGAACCAGAATGCCTATCTAACCACTGTTTAGATCAGGGTTTCTTAACCTCGGTTCATGAACCCCTAAGGGGTCCATGAGTTATATTTTGGGGGTCCGCTGACTACTTCTAATTTTTAAAATGTTTGGAAGCCTACCCGTTACTTGTAAAGTGAGCTATGGCAGCTATAATTCCGTTTGCTACTGTGTATCTTTGCGAAGCGAGATTTTCCACACTTGTGACAATAAAAACATAACATCTTTAAACGATTGAATGTTGAACATGATATACACGTTGCTTTGTCGAAAACCATCCCCCAATTCAATTTATTAATTAAGGAAAAGCAGCAGCAACCTTCACATTAAAAATTTTGATTTAAAAAATTTTGTATACTATTTAGGGGTCTGTTTAGAAGAAATTTGGTTCCGTTAACGGAACCAAATTTCTTCTAAACAGACCCCTAAATAGTATACAAAATTTTTTAACATAAAAACGGACCCTTCAGAAAATGATTTTTCTTTTAATCGGACCCTTCACAAATTTGTTTATCTTCATTATTGTTTTGTTAATCGAATAAATCCTTCCCTGGGGGAAAAACAAGAAAGATGGTTGTAAACGAATTAAGTTATGTCTTCGGCAGACGCTTCTTCAATTATTCGCCCGAAATGAATATTCTGCTTTCAGCAGTATAGGCTAAATACCAAATATTTGTATGTTGCATCTCTAATTTTGAAGCAGCAATTTGTGTTTATTTTTTAAAATTTAATTTTTTTAATTATAATTTTACAATGCTGAGTATAATCTTGTATCTATTTACAATTTAAAAACTCCTTGAAAAAGTTTTTTTTGCAATAACCGGACTCTATTTGCACAAATTCATAAAAGCAGGACCCTGGTTTAAAGAATGTGACTTAACGTTTATTTTATATTCACAAATTATGAGTACTTTTTTCACAATTTTACAAAAACCGGACCTTTCACAAAATGTCTGGACAGACCCCTGCTATTAAAATAATGAAATTAAATGTTTTCTAATAATTGATGTTTTATAGTGCGTTTTTGCAATCATTTTTTTCACAGGGAGGTGGTCCGTGACTTCTTAAAATTTTTTAAAAGGGGTCCATTATATCAAAAAGGTTAATAAACACTGGTTTAGATAAAGGGTTAGGAGGTGCGCAATGGGATGCGCGATGAGGTGCTCAATGATGTGCGTGTGCAATGATGTGCGTATCATTAATGATCGTATTATCGATCATTAATCGCTACATTGTTGAATTCGATATACCTATGCGCATCATCGTTGGTCGGTGTTCTGCGTAAACCAATATCTCGTGTTAATCGTACGTTTTGGCGTTATGTTAATTCTTCTTAGTCTTCCTAACAAAGTAACTTACGTTGAGCATCTTTATAACTAGCATTGACGGTTTAAACTTTAAAGGAACTATTTTCATAATTAGTATGAAGTGCAACGGATAAATATGGACACAACTGAAAGTAACAGTTAAGAACTGCTTCAGATTGATGAAGAACTCATAATCTTTTCAGGTTATTTGGCTTACATAAAAGAAGAAAATGGAGACTGGAAAGAAGCTACTTTATCAAACGAAGTACTGACTTACAACTTTGAAAACTTAAAATGTGGTGCAGTCTATCAAATGTACTTAGTTCCTTTCACTTCCGGTGGAAAAGGAGAAAGAAGTCAAGTTCTAAGTGTAAAAACAGAGGGGAAAGGTAAGAACATAACTTTAAATAAACCTTGAAACATTTTCTATTTCCATTTATTTCATTTGAAATATTTTATAACTGAGTTTTCATTTAAATATTTGGTGCTGTTTAGTAGCCGGACACAAACAAAAAGTCGCCAAAAAATGTGAATCTTTGCCAATCTTTTTTCTCTCTTTTTTTTCACTATTTTTGTTTTATTTATTTATTTTTTAATTACTGAACAAAATGGACGTTCACACACACAAAATAAGTAAATAATAAAAAAATATGTATTAAGTAAATAATAATTCAACTTGTGCGTTACTTTAAAATCTTTTTAATAACTTTCATAAACACTATCCTAAAACTTTTTTTCAACATTAAAATCATACTTGCAAAGTTATTAAATAATAAGTCTGCATAGTATCCCCTTATTTTATTATTTAATGAGTATAAAGTTACATACAAAATACATTTTAGGTATATTTAGGGAGTACTTGGGAGTATATTAGGGGGTAAACTTATAACAAAATACTTGATATTTGAAGATGAACTTTATGTGAAAAAAGCATCGTTAATTAAAAACTTCTGGCAATTTACTGTTAACGAGTGTAAGGTGATGAAAAATTTGAAATAAATATTCTGAAAATGTTGAATTGTAAAGAAATTTAGACAGGACAATTGTCAAGAATTTGGATCCCTTAAGGTTAATTTAACTTTTGGCGCATTTTTTTTTTATCCGGAAAATTTATTTTGTCACATTCTTTTCGCTTGCAAAATTTTTTAATTTGCTTTTATGTTGAAATATGCAAGAAGTGAAATTCACTATAAATGACGTAAGCATACATTCAACCGCTCTCTTGACTAAATTAATGGAACATATATTTGGGATAAATCCTATATTTTGAGGATCAAAACTCCAAATTTTTTAAATACAAAACATGATTTTAAAAAAATAAATAAATGAATAAAAATAAAAAAAATAAATAAATTGTTATTACATTTGAATTTGTATTTTAAATTATTTTTTGTGATCAATTAAATTTATTTTATAACTGCCGTTGAACAGCAAACCCAATTTTGGGTTTACGACTTCTTCATACTACTTATGTTGAACTCCGTAACTTTGTAATTTTGAACCCAATCCAAAATCAGACAATGTAACTCCTGGATCAAGTATGGGAAGAAATTTGTCTTCCTGGAGGATATTTTGATGGAACTAACCCGCATTTACGTTACATGGAGAGGAAAACCATGAAAACCTCCCACGGATAGCCTGACGACAAAATGACTTCAACCCATGATCCGTCTACCACGGAGGATATTTCAAGTCTACACTGTGGTAGCTGCGAACAGGGTGTGGAATTCGTATCGAGCTGCCATCTCTGAGATTCGAGCCCGGTTCATCTCATTGGATTATTTTTCGTTGGATTATTGGATCTCATTTATTATTTTTTTGGCATTTTACATTACTGTTTAAATTAAATGTCAGTAAATATGAATGCTTATATTTCTTGTTTAGAACTGTTATCAGGCAAGGATGCGTAGCGCTTACAAGTTCATGTATTCGGGGAAAATAATCACTTTGGAATTACCATGCTGGCTTTAATAACACAACTTTATTGAAACAAAACACATAAGGAACTAAATTACATAATACAGAAAACAAAAATTAACATTTACTAATAACGTGACTTTGTGCTGCCACCTATATTTCATTTTGAAAACTACTTCAAACAGAAACATGTGTGTTAAATACTAATGTATACGAAGCATGATTAAGCATTAAATTATTCTTTAATTAATTTTTTTGCTCTTTTCTTTTATCTGTCCGCGATAATTTATATGAAACCTCAAAATTTTTTCATTGACTTTATTTCCAGCTCCTATACCTCCTTTGAAAGAACATTTCTTGCAAGTTAATGCTTCTTCCGTAACTGTATTTTTATCTACATGGGATGATGGAGGTTGTCCAATTACCCACTATTACTTGAGATACAGATCTCAGAATGAACAACAGTGGACTGAAATACCAATACAGAATCACAGACCCCGTGCATTCATTACTGGCTTAAATCCTGGTCAGTGGTACAAATTAATTGCTGGCGCAAGAAATAGTGCTGGCAATAAAGATGTAGAATTTGACTTTTTGACACGGAGGTTAGACATCAGCAAATCTCAAGGTACACACATGTTCTGGAACATTCTTACATTCTGAACTGTCATTTTTTTCATTGCAATTTATTATTTTTTAAAAATGTAGTAGTTATTCATTTATTGTGAAAATGTCTATTGATGTTTTTGTCTGTTATTGATGATAATGTCTATCGATTTTGAAAAGAAGAAAAAAAATTTTTTTTTAGCTTTTTTCGAAAAATTAGAAATAGAGGTCCGAATAATCTAAAATGTCTTAATAAGAAAAATTTTCATTGAAACTATCTCTGAAACTTTATCGAATTACTGTAATTTAAAAACACATTTATAGCTCTTAAAAGTTGCAATATGATTATTATTTTTTTTCCATACTATACCTAGTTTGGTCCTCAATTTTCAGTTTAAACCACAGTAAGCAATTGATTACTGTAATCAACTACTCAAAATCATGATTGCAACATATAATTTCGAACAATAATTTTCGAACAATCGGACTTTTTTCTGAATTATTAATTGCAATAATAATTTATTTGAATTGCTGATTACATTTTCGTATAATTTTGCTTACTACTGCAATCGTGTCTACAATAAATCAAACTATATGATTACACAAAATCAGTATTACGTGCATGTAACATACAAATGCATCTACTGTATATTGTACGTATGATTATTATATTAAAAGTTCGATTAAAAGTTAGGGATCCAATGTTTGGAACCAATAATGTTAATTTTACTTTTTGTGTATTTCGCCGTATCTCGAGATATTTTTTTAAATAATTTAAAGTTTTTTGCACAGACTATGAATTCGTTTTTTCAAATAAAATTCCATGCAAAAGTAAGTTTTTTAGAAAATATTTATTATATTTATATAATAAATATTTTCTAAAAAACTTACTTTTATTATAATTATTGTATTTTATTATTATTTATAATTATAATAATATTTATTATTATTTATAATAATTATTTATATTTTTTTGTAATTATTATATTTTTATAATTTTATATAATAATAGTAAAAAAAAATTGAACTGCTAGGTATACGATTTTTTAATTTATTTTAAAAAAAGTAATTTTACATGTCCATTAATTCGTTCTTTTCTTGTAAATGAATATTTTAATATGGCTTTACAAAGGCGCTATATAAGAACTTACTAACTAGAAAGTTAAATTGTCTGTTACATTAGTATCCAGAGAACTCTATTTCCTATATTTCTTTGACACAACATTATATAAAGTAATTTCTGCCAATATCTCAAGATGCGAAGCACTTTTCTTCGTTGGTTGAAAGCAACATAAAACTGCGACCACAGTTTTAATTTAACTATTCGTGACTTAAGTGTAGTATTTTTTATTCTGTCTTGAAATTGTATTCGGATATGGTTTAAAAGCTAAATTTAAGTTCTTCTGTCTGACCTAAGTTGTTCTATAATATAATTTTTTTTAAACATGTAAAATCTTAATACATAGCTAAATCATTTGTAATATTGTGTGTGAATATTCTGACTGCAAAAATATTTTTTTCTGTCAAGGTATAGGACATCCACCTCCAATCGTGGCCGAATCTTCCGCAATGGAACTTCAGAGAAAAGTGGCAGTTATTACATCGGCTGTTTGTTCGGCTGTGGTATTAGTCGTTATTTTAATAGCTGCCTGTGCTGTACTCACTCGTAGGAGAAGACATCGACCAGAAGGACATGATTCCGGTGGTAAGTCTTACTCTTACTAAAACAAATGAACGCTTCACTAACAATTTCAATGAAGACACATTGCATCGGAAACGAATCAATTAAATAGTATTACGTCTTGTAGGAAATCTCTATTACATGTTCCAGATACACCTCAAAGACATACTGATGCAGCTTTCAGGTTAGAGACAGACAAAGATTGCCTTACTCTACATTTATACAGATTTAACATGTTTTAGTCCCCTAATTGTATATCATGCCGGAAAGATTCAGTTATAAACGCGCATCTCAATTTACAGAATGACCGGAGGTGTTTAGACATTTATATGATAGATTTGGCAAAACAGAAATTTCAAGGTTTTAGGACTGGTTGACTTATTAACATGTTTTAATTTTTGCATTCTGATTTTTAATACTGCTTTATTTAAATTCATGGGTTTGTGTTGTGTGTGGCGGTCACACACCAGTGAATGAAAGTTCAAAAGCTACTACTTGAAAAAAAATTACTATTATCACACGTTAAAATAAATTCCATAAAATTTTTAAAAAGTTAAGAAAAAAATTATTTTAGCTGAAAACTAAAGCAAACATAAAAATTTTATCTTAATAGTAGATAGTAGTCCAAATCCACTTATTAAAAAGAGGGAGTGAAGGCTCTTTTTATCCTTCCTATCTTATTTAAAAATTGATTTACATCCGTTTTAATTCCATCGCAAACTAAAGAGCAACAAAATCAAATAAAAGAGGAAAACTGTAATACCATCATAACACCCTATAGGTCTATATTTCAAAATAAATAAAAAAAATGATAAAGATAAAATAAATAATAAATAAATAAATAATGGAAAATAAACTTTTAGATGAAACGTGCTCATTCAATAAAAACCTACAGTAATTTAATAATAAAATTAATTTTTATTTCAGTTGCTTTGAGAACTTACTAACAATGATCTTGGATTGATTCCTTTAAAGAGTACCCATAGTATCCATCCATATCCAAAAAAATTATTAATGCAATATATTTTTTAATTTTTGAAAACATTCTGTTATTTTATTTAACTATTATGGCTTCCTTAAATAGTAATATATACAAATAATAAGAAAGTAAATACGTAGTTGACGTCATTTGATTGCAAAACGTGTCATTTTAGCCTTTGGACAAGAGCGATAGATATTTCCTGATTTCTTTTTATTCCCAAATTTTGATAAATTCTTATTTATTTTATTTATTTTTCATTACTATATTGTTCCTTTTTTATGTCATTAGATATACAATATTAACGATATACAATAATAATAAAAATATTAACGTAGATGAAAATCGAATTATAAATAAATTATATACATTATATTTTCTTTCTTATTATTTTTATAAATGCGTTCTTTCCATTCATTAAAAACTTCTTTCACAGATGGCGTCACTATTAAAATTTTAATTTCACCCTAAGTTTTTAAAAGGAAGGTTTTAAGATTACATTGTAGATGGCAGCACTATAACATGATAGTCAAAAAAATTCATTTAAAAATTGACTAACAAATAAGATTTGTAGAAATTGACTAAATAAATTTCTTTAATGCTTGAAATTCTGGACAAAGCCTAGAAAATAAGAAATAATTATAAATTTACAGTTTATTGCACTTGTAAACAAATATATTTTGCTTAAGAAGAAGGGAGCTTTTCAGTTGATAATATTAAATATATAATAATATGATCAATGCAGATGGAGAAACTAAATAATTAATTATGATTTGAATTGATTAATAGAGTACTTATTTTTTTTAAAAAATTAAAAAGATTTTTTTTTAAGAAAGTGAAAAAGGTAGAAATAAAAGTAAATGTCATTTATCAGAAAAATGATATGATGCTGCAATTCAATTATCTTCTCTTGGATGTACTTACAAAATTGCAGTATTACTTCTTGTACATAAATTATGTGAAATGATTTTTAAAACTCTGTTCTCTGTGTTCTTATTATGAAAATTAGCCTTTTTTTATATCTTATTTAATATTAAATAATATCAAATGGCTGTAGTTTTATTAGTGTTTCTGGGGGAAATTTATGCAAGTATCAGATGTTATTACATCTGATACAGATGCAAATGTATCAGATGTTATTATTTTTTACAAATTATTATTTAACTATCTGATTATTTTCAAAATTGTAATAAAAATAAATAATTGTAGAAAAAATAAAGCATCAATTAGATCTTAATTGCTATTATTATTATCATCATTATTAATAACATTAGCAAGTGAAAAGAATTGAAATGTGTTTTATGTATTATAGAGATTATACACCTCTCATGTTAGAAACTTTTTTTTATTTATTTTTTTAAAGTTACTCTTTTTTCTAAATAAAATTTTTTTTTGCAATTTGCAAGGACGATAAAATGGAATTTATGAGTCTCATTCATATAATGATCATGCAGCCATTGCTTGCTCAATATAGCGACTTCTATTATGCATGTAAAAAATGGCATTGTAGCATGGTTTCACTGTATCAAAAAGGTACGAAAGTAATGTAATTAATGGACTAAATTGGACTATGTTGTACTTTAAACAAACAAAAGATAATAATTGTTAGTATTCACGTAATATTTTAAACGTAACATATTGCAAACAACCATTTTGGCTTAACAAACGTCTAGAAAACTTCATTACTATTCTACTGTTGGGGACGGATTTAGTCCAATTGTACGACTGTTCCGTTTCGTTTTGATCACCTCGGTTCTCAGGGAAAACCTGCAACTAGCTGGTTTTGCTCCCCCGTTTGATGTACATCTATGTCGAGCCCCCAAAAGTTGTAGTGCAGAGGAGCAAAAAAAGTTGAAAGGCTGAGCAAAGGTTTTGCAGGCTCCAGTATAAAATTTATTGTAGACCCCTTTCTCAAAGAACAAAAAGGCTTAATTTCCTAATTTGTAGAATTTTTGAAGACACTTTATAGAAAATTGTGATTTTTATATAAATATAGAGCAATTTTCTGATAAAAAGAACCAATAAATAAATACTATATTTTTTGTGAAAAATTTTGATTGGGCTTTTAGCAGGCCCGGCCCCGATATAATTTTCTCTCCCGGCATCCCCCCATCCTTAACTATTGTTTTGACTACATCGCATGTAAATTGCATGCATAATTTCTTTGTGATGTAGCTTCTTTAAATTGTCATATAAAATAGAAATTTCTGATACTTCTTCGCGGTAGCTCTAGTATTTCTAAATTTCCAATAGAGTTAACATGTGCGCTATTTCTTACCCGTTTAAGACTGGGTGATATAACTTTTAAAAAAAGAAACTTTTGTAAGAAATTGGTATAAATATGACTTTTCAAGGTTTATATATGGTTCTCAAATAAGCAATGAATATCTTGATTAAATCTGTCAGTTTCTGGATCGAGCAGTTAGCTACAACAGGCATTCGAATCGAATCTTAGCATTTCGAATTTAGACCATTTTTCTCTAGGAGATAAAAAAAAGGGTATTTTAAGAGATAAAAATTATTATGTGGTTTAAGTTATTAGCAAAAAAAAATAAATAAATAAAAATAAAAGTAAATAAATAAATTGAATGAACATCTTCTGAAAATGTTAAATTTAATTATAACGTAAGGCAGATGACGATTTTTATGTGACTGTGCAATATTCTGTTTTGGAAAGGGGTCTATACTCGTTAAGAAAGTTGTACATTTTCAACGAAAAGATATTTCTAATGTGTTTATAACAAAATATCCTTTTATTATGGACAATAAAGAATCGAAACCTGACGAATTACAACAAAAATTTAAAAACAGGAATGTTTTCAATACAGGAATGTTTGCAATACAGGAATGTTTTCAACACAGGAATGTTTTCTATAAACAGGAATGCTTTCAATTCAATAGTCACTAAAAAAGGCGGTCCATTCTGGAAAGGTTGTTATGGAAACCCTATATTCTATATTATATTAACTTTTTGATCATTGATCTAGGCCAACATAGATTAAAAATCTAGGGGGTTATTCTACTCTTTATTCATTCAAAATTAATTCAAAATGTTTAATGTGTAGTAACATCAGAAGAATAATGTTATAATTAATTTCCTTAAAACTTATACGATAAAATGGCTAGTTATAAATTACAGCATTTCATTTTGTAGAAATGTTAAACACTAGTTTTCGAAGAACTTTTTTCTTAATTGGTTGTTAGAATGGGAAGATCGAAGTAATATAAGGTTATAATAGTGTGAGTGAACCGCTATGATTCAGTGGGTAAGGTACTTTTAAAGACAAGAGTGCCCTGAAGCCAAGGAAGTTTAAGAACAATCGGTATCAGCTTGTTAGGAAAGTAAAGAATGTCTTGTACAATGCTGACGACATTGTGGCCATCATTTCGTTAGTCATGAAATTGAGGAGACTCAACCTTCACGAATCCTCGACTCTCAACAGGTTGTTTGCTGAAACACTTCATTTTTTAATAATTTCAATAAAGATAGTAGTGATTGCGTCATCACCTTACTCACTGAGTCATCACGGCTCACGCACTCTGTTATATCGTCCAATTACATCGAATATCTACCCTTCCATTTTAAGGACCAGTACAAATGTCACTCAAATGTTACAGAATAAACATATTAGTATGGGCATAAACACCTTGTCAGCAATTCGTAAACTCTTTCTTAATAATTGAACTGTCAATATTCTATGTAACTTATTTGCGCTAGAAGTCAAGATTTAATAGATTTATTTTTCCATTTTTTTTTTTTTTTTTTTTNTTTTTTTTTTTTTTTTTTTTTTTTTTTTTTTTTTTTTTTTTTTTTTTTTTTTTTTGTATTTCCAGCTGATCGAAGAAGCACTGGAGAAATTCAAAAGTCCGAGACAGTTGCACTTAGTGCGTGGGAAAAGCGACCACGCAGTGATTCTACTCACAGAGGATCTCAGTGTCGAGAGTCCATGTATCTTCCTTGTCCATATGCAACAGCAAGACTTTCTCAATTCACGACAGATGGCGACACTGACTGCGTTCGCCATTCTGTATCATTGGCCGAAAATGAACACTCTTATGATGTGCCTATTCAAATAGTCAGTAAACTTCGCTAGCAATGTAATTATTAATGAAATATCTGAATGTAAAAAAGAAATGTATATATACTGAAATATTCGAAGCATACTAAGAACTTCAATTCCGAAGGGAATAAAGTTTTGGTGAAATTATTTTAAAATATGAAATGACGTGTTTAACGAAAGTTACTATAAGGTGAAGAAATTTTCATATTTATGCAAAGACGCATAATTAATTTTCTTAATTATGCGTCTCGTGAGACTTTTACTTTTTTTTCGTGAGGCTATGTGCAAGGAAACTTTATTTCATAAATTTTGTTAATTTATTGATTTTCTTGCATGAAAGATACTACATTCTGTTCGTATTTTCATTGGTGCAATTAGTAGTGTTGCAAAATATAAATTATTATTCTCGATAAATTATTGAATTGTATCTTGTGGTAGAAAATGATGAATGAAAGCATAATGAAATAATTACGAAGATGAACAAAGGAATGAAAGGCAGAGAGATCATCTGAGTAAAAACACTGAATATTTAAGATATAATTATGAAACTCCTGTTTTTTCAACTTTGTGTTATATATGTTGTTTTCTGCATTATTATTAATCCATCATTTTAAAAATTAATTTTTTTTCAAAATTTAAACTCTATTTTAGAAACGTTATAGTCATAAGACCAATACATATGTTAAGAAATATTAGTCATAAAACAAATTTATTTTTGCTTTGACATGACACGAAATTTAATCGTTTTTTCTTTTAAATAATATCTTATTAAAATGATACTGCAATTCAAAATATATCCAATAAATATAAATTATACTTTCAGTACATATAACTTTAACGGATCTTGTATACTTAAGCATTGCAGATTTCAAATGTGCAATCAGTTTTTTTTTCTCCAAGCTACAGAGTTCTTCATAAATAATATTTTTATTCCATTTTTTGCAGCAATGTACAAGCTTAAAAACGTCATACATAACAGGGGTTTCGCGTAAACAAACTTCAAGGGAAAGTTAGGGCACTTTATCAGGATTAAAATTACACAGGAACCCTTGCCTAGAAATGTCGTGGGAAGCGACTAAGCCCTTGTTATGACCTGTTCATATATAACATTTTTAAACTAGTTCATTTCGACAAAAAATAGACTGAAAAATCTTATTTAAATCAAATTTATAGCTTTATGAGCAAAACTATTTTCAAATTTGAAATTCCCACACCCGAAATAAGTAAGATGAAGTATTTGTATAAATATAACTAAAAATTTGTTTTTCAGTGTGATATTTGAAAGTTTCAAAACGCTAATGTTTTATTTGAATAAGTTTAATATGATTTGAGAAAAGCTGCAATTGTTCTACTAATATATTCTCTTTAATAATTTCGTTAAATTTTTGACAAGGTAAAATATAAAACTGTTAATTTTTCAAAATTATTCTCATGCATTAATGTCACGTATGGTTATATCTTTAAAAGAATGCATATGAATTACAAAAATTTTTGCGTGTGTTTTACAATTTTTTTGTTGCTTTTTTGACTGAAAAATTATGTTTACATCAGTAGCTTATAAGTTTATGGGACTAACCGTTCTGTGGTGTAAGCCATTCTACTATGTTGGAACTTCTATGCTTGTTGCAAACAACTCAATAACTGGCTAAGCAATATCTAAAATTCCCATAGTTTACTTTGAAAGTTTGTGAAAAGTTATATTATCTTATCAAAATTTCTCTCGCAACTGGATTATTTTAAATAAATCGTACATAGTTAAAATGTTATCCTTACCCGATTATACTTATGACTCACTTACAAAATTAATTTAAAAAGTTATTAATTAAGAATTATTAATCTTAAAAATAAATTTTACAAAATTATTCTAATGCATTAATGCCACGTATGGTTATATCTTTAAAAGAATGCATATGAATTGAAGCAGTTTTTGTGTGTGTTTTACGTTTTTTTTGCAGCTTTTTGGAATGAAAAACTATGTTTACATCAGTAGCTTATAAGTTTATTGGGCCAACCGTTTTGTGGTGTAAGCCATTCTACTATGCTGGAACTTCCATTCTTGTTGCAAACAACTCAATAACTGGCTAAGCAATATCTAAAATTCCCATAGTTTACTTTGAAAGTTTGTGAACAGTCATATTATCTTATCAAAATTTCTGTCGCAACTGGGTTATTTTAAATAAATCGTACATAGTGAAAATGTTATCCTTACCAGATTATACTTATGACTCACATACAAAATTTACAAAATTAATTTAAAAAGTTATTAATTAAGAATTATTAATCTTAAAAATAAATTTTATAAAATTATTCTCATGCATTAATGCCACGTATGGTTATATCTTTAAAAGAATGCATATGAATTACAGCAATTTTTGTGTGTGTTTTGCATTTTGTTATTGTTTTTTTTGACTGAAAAATTATGTTTATATCAGTAGCTTATAAGTTTATTGAACCAACTGTTCTGTGGTGTTAGCCATTCTACTATGTTGGAATTTCTATGCTTTTTGCAAACAACTCAATCACTGGCTAGGCAGTATCGAAAATTCATACATTTTGCTTTGAAAGTTTGCGAAAAGATCAAGATTTATCAAGATTTATGTTACTGGATTATTCTAAATAAGTCGCATATAGTGAAAATACTATCATTAACCTCATATGCTCATTACTCATTTGAACTTTATGGTGAAGAACTAATGTTAAATTTTCTTAATTGGCTGATTTTAAGTGAATGACTTTTAACATAAAAGCAGTGACACACTGTGATTTTCTCAATTTTGTATATATGATGTTGAATTTATTTTGTTTTGACATCATCCAGCATGCTTTTTTCCTTGAAATTCCACATTTTTGGGACATGTGTATTATAATGTTTAATAAAAACATATTTTTTAATAACATAAATTTGTTTTTACTTCATTCTATCATTATTCACTCATAAATATTTATAATTGAAGAATATTATTTCATGTGAATAAAAGTTTCTTCATATATGAAGAGATTATTGAAAAAATGTTCTAAGTGAGTTTTTAGAGAAAATCAGTAATAAAGTTACAATTTGATAAATCTTCCTATTGTACCAATAATGTTTTAATATTTAGACAGAAGCTCGTGCTTTATTTGAATATTAAGACTGTATAAACTATCTACTCTATTGGGGCAGCAAGAAACTGATTAAAAAATGCATTTTCCAACTAAGAAACATTCTATTTAATATTTAATGACCTATTGCGTCATTTTAATATTTAGTAAGCAGCTCATCTCCTATCTAAATATTAAAACTGTATAAACTAGATGCTTCATCATTCTTAAATAATTACAGTTAAGGAATATTTTTTTATGTGAATAAAATGTTCTTCATAAATGATGAGATTATTGAAAGAATGTCCTAAACAAATTTTTGATGAAAATCAGTAGTAAGGCTACGGAAGTATGCACCATCGTATTGTATCAACATAGTTTTTATATTTAGATTGAAGTTCAAGCTCATATCCTATCTAAATATTGAAATTGCATTCACGATATACTATATAATGATAAAAAGAAACTGGTTCCAGAATTCATTTTTCAACTAAAAACCATTTTATGTAATATTTCAGGACTTATTGCATCAATATAGTTTTAATAATTAGAAAGAAGGCGCATCTTCTATATAAGTATTAAAACTGTAAAAACTATTTACTCTTTAATGTCAGCAAGAAACTGGTTACGAAATTCCTTTTCCAACTAAAAACCGTCCTCATTAATATTTAATAACCTGCCAGAATAAAACAATATTCTACACAAAGAGTTGACAGCAAGTTATTATAACATTATTCTGTTATATTTATGAATTCGGTCACATAAATGAACAAAATCTGTATTGTCTACTTATGTTAACAGTACGGAGATCTATTTATGAAGATCTGCACTACTTTTGATGTCATTCCACGGTATGATGTCACACAGGCATGAACAGGTCGTATGTTATACGAACAAACGTATTCGGATATCATACTAATACACTTGGGTAGAATCTTTGTAAAAATGATATTTTTTGTTCGCTTAATATTGATCACATCATCAGTTTTTACAATCTGCCAGAAACAGAACTGATTCTTCTACAGAAGTCTCCCAGTTTGTAAACCAAAGAAATCTGAACACAAAAGTAAAAATATTTTTCCGATTCAAAAATACTTAAAATCCATCGCTTTGATTTTTCATTCACTGAGATCTTCGGAAAGAAATAGACTTGATAAAATAATTGAACATTGTATAGTTAAATAAGGCTAAAATAATTCCCAATATTGGAAATTTTCCCAAAAGTTTCCCATATACCTTTCTCTTATTCGTCTTTTCAATTGCATTATTTTACTTCATCGTTGATTATCAACAGCAGGCGAGACTAGCTTTTTTTCGTGAAAAATATCACGCATTTTGAAAGTTTTGTAAAATGTAATAAAAAAATTGAATATTTCCGGCAGCAAATGTGCCATCCATTCTTTATTCTTTCATTAAATATAGCCTTAAACTGTCTTTTTTGAAATAGAATTTTTCTGTTTCTTAAAGCACCTTTCTTTCTTTAAAGCAGTCCCGCAACGACTGATCGTGACGACACGGCTCCCAGTAAAACACCGAAGTCAAGCATTCCTGACTGCTGTTAGTAAGCAGGTGGGTAACCACTTTCATAAGTTTGCGTGGGGACCGAGGGTGAGCGGTATCGATCTTCTTTATACTGTTCTACCGTAAAGTGCTACACTTCCAGCGCAAGTTGTCTGGCAGACAAAGCAGGGGAGCCATCCCCTCTGCAGAGGATCAAAATTACGATGGCATGTCTTCGGATCATCCTCAGGGATGTTTCTCAGACCATCGCCAATAGCCCATTGTGCAGCTCTAAAGAGACGTAAATAAAAGTACCTATCTTTTTTTGAAACAATGAAATTAGCAAGCTTGCTTACAAATTACTATTAAGGTATTTAATTTTGAAACTCCATTTTCCCCGATGAAGCAACCCCTTAATATTTCGAGCAAATAATTTAACGACTGATTATTTGATTAAATGTCAATATCGTCTAAAAGAGCCAAAATCTAATGTTGCCAGAAACTAAGTCTGTCTTAGAAGCAAAGACAAAAATAACAAGAAGAATCAGGTAAGAAATAAAAAATGGTGGAACGAACGAAGTATAAACAGAGCGGAGGTAATAAATAAAAGAGAAAAAAAGAAGAATTTATTACCATCGTACCGTTTGCATTTAGATGAGATCGACCTTCTGAGGGAAGAGAAGAAATATGCTCCGATGTTTTAAAATATTACCTATGCTTAAAAGTTATTATTTGTAAAAACTGCCCGAGCTGCAACTACAACACTTATGAGATTTTGAAAAACATTTTCAAGTTCCCTTTATTGAAATACCTCAAATAGTTTTTAAATACATTATTTCTTATAGATAGGTAGTTATAATAGTGTGCAAAAAGAAAAAAAAAATCTAAAAAGAGAACCATAAATCATTGGGAGTAGTTTTTACGACGTATTTGAAGCTGAGGTTGTTTACAGGTTTAATAAATCAATGAACTGTCTTTTTCGCGCTTCATTTATCTTTTCCAGGTTTCTTATAAGCCTCCCACGTTCTTAACGTTTGTGGTTAAGGCTAACGATACTGCTGCCATCTGTATTCGTAATTTGTAACAAGTTTAGGGAACATGGGATTTACGTCATACTAGTTCCATATAAATCAACCCCTATAATCCCTAGTCTAGAGGAGAAACTGAAAAGCAGTGGAGGAAAGAATTCTCTTTAAGGTTAAGGAATATAAAATTCTATTTCATAAAATAATTGAAAAATATGAGTTCTCTTAACTTTCAAAAATTGGTTTTTCTCTAGCGTGATATTTTTATTCGACACCCTAAGTTAAGAGTTAAAATTACTTGTTGAAGATTGATGTTTCATGGTTTGCTATAGTATTTGAGACAAAGCCTTATGATACGATATTTTTTCAAGTATAATAGATGAAAAAAAAGTTTATCTATTACCATTTTTTATCTTTGGAACGTTTTTCTGACAAATAATTTTATGAAAAACATTGTCTGAAAAGATTTTGTTGATATATAAAATACGAATAAGCTTGGTGGTACAAGAGTAATAATAAAAATTAATTTAATAAACCTAATTTAAAAAAGCGTTAAAAAGAGCCTAAATTAAAATTGGATGGTGCAAGTAAAAATTTAAAATTTCGCGTTTTTGTTTTTTTTTTCATTTCAAGATTTAAGAGATTATTATTTTTTTTTCAAACTGTTCTAAAACCCTTTTTTCACGGTGTTTTCTGAAAACATAAACAATAACAAGTTTTTGGAAAATACTGTATCCAAACCATATACGGAAATTTTCCACGTACTAGCGTGTGTGCCAGATCTGTTTTGATTTTTCAAACTAAAAGTTGTGAGGAAAAACGACAAAAGATGTTAAGTTCTTTGCAGTGCACTGCGTTTTCACGTTTTAGAACTCAAGAAAATGCTCATCTCTGCGTAAAATTCATTTTCAAAGTAGAATTGTCTCAGTTCGTTTGTTTTTGTTTTTGAAACACGCAATAAGTTAATTAAAATGTGATAATTTTTTAAAAGAAATAAAATTACAATGAACAATAACATTGAACTGTACAGCACGAAATAAAAGTGTTCCCGCAATAGCCTGCTGTGGGCCATGGGGTCCATAGAGGTTAAGGCTCCACAATTTCGTGACCGACAGCATGATTGTGGTACTGTGGGCAGCACTACTCACAGACAGCCTTTACTTCCTCATCGCCTTTGTACCCATCAATCTGAAGTTGCATGGGTTTCAAGTCCCCCCTCGGGATCGAGCCCGGTTCCTCACAGTGACAGTTCAGTAAACCACTATGCCATAAACATGACATACCATCATTAAAAGTCCGATGAAGCCAGATCAATATCTATGAATGTAATAATTTTCATAATAGGTGCTTTTTTCCTCGCTTTTCTAGTTTCATAAATATTTCATTTAATTCACTAATATGGAGCTTTAATTCTTTTGTGTAAACTTCTAGCGGCATAAATTCTTAATATCAACAGATAGATCTGGACATTCTGATGCAAATCTAATCGATCCGATAAATCAAAAAATATTTTAACGTTATGAGTCACATTTATGTCTTTTAAGCATATTTACCTCAAAGCATATTTACCTCAATATTTACCAAAATTACCCTCAATTACCTTAACTCTCATTGTTTCAATCAAGTTGAAAAAACTTTTTTTTTATTTCTTGTTTAATTGAGATTTATTTAAAAACACTATCCTTTTTGTGTATGTTTTTGGCATTATAGCATGCATAATATCAACGGAAAACTCAGAATATTGGGACGAAAAATCAGTCATTATTTTGAGGTTATGAGTCACATTCAGTTCTTTGAATGAAGCAGATTTGCCTCATAGAAAGCCATTGTTTCAATCAAGCTGTAAAATCATAAGATAAGTTTTTGATTTCTAGTTTAATTGAGATTTCATTTAAATCAGTGATATCAAGCTTGTGTAAGCTTTTTGTGTCATGAGACTTTTAGTATCAACGAAATGCTCATGATATTTGGGCACAAATCTAATTAGGCTATAAAGTCCAAAATTATTTTAAGTTTTGTGTTGAATTCAAAACTTTAAAGAGCATTTTCCACGTAGAAAGCTATTGTATCTAAAAAGTTTTCCACAAGATGTTTTTTTTTTCTTTATATATTTTTTGTTTATTTATTTGCAGGGGAAATTTTTTCTCATTTCTAGAGATATTTTTTTTTTGAATTTTGATTTATAAAATCTCGTAAAGATTTTAGTCCTGAAGTTTTATTTAAATCATTAATATAAAACTCTAACCTTTTTTTGAAAGCTATTTCAGTTGCAACTTGCTTAATATTAGCGATTCAGAA